TTTGAAGCAGCAAGTTTTAGAGATAACAGTTATGGGTTTACAAATTGCTTTACAGATTATTTGAATTGCATCTCCATCTGGTTTACTGATGTGAACACCTATAGATATCAGATACTATTTAATCTGTTTTTTCCTTCTTTTGTCCTGCCCTGCTATCTCTTTAAAAATTGCATTAGTTCCCTGGTCTCAATTAGCCTCTCTTGCAAAATACAAAGCTCTGCTTCTCAGAATTACGTTTGCCTTTGTTTTCTTCTACTTCTGCATTGGTCATAATCTTTACAAAGAAACAACAAAGAAAAAAAAAAACAAACAAACAAAAAACCCCCAACAAGCTAGATGGCTCGTTTACCTTTCCAGGTACTATGTCATTTTTCAAACTCTTAGTATGCGGATGTGTTATTGATCAACAGTGCACTCATTCATACAATTAATTTAAAAGTCCTGGTAGCCTTGATGTTATAAGGACACAAAATAATCAAGGACTGCAAGATCCTGAGAGACTGCAGACCAGATGATATATTAGAGACAGACAGAGAGATCAGAGAAAGCTTTGAGATCAGAGAATTCTTGAAGGACTTCTGTATTTACAGACAATTATTTAATCTGGACTTTTTTCCACATTAAATGGACTTTGAACTCACAAGCTTAGCCACTTTTTTCCAACTAAAACTGTTCATAAAAGAAAACATCGCTACTCCCCACATGATGCCTGACTTTGCTAATTCACATTACTTGCAGTACTGTGAGTAGTACTCCAGCTGATCAATGCAATACAATTAACTGCATCTCTGTCTTTAGTGATTTTTATGCAAAAGAAAATAATGCATGCAACTACTTTTTGTTTCTCAAGCTTCAAACCATCTTGCATCAGATCTACAGACAGTAATTCCTCTTCCAAGTGTTTCAGTTGATCCTGGAAAGTCTCAGAACGTTTTTCAGCTTTCCTGCTCCTCTCGAGAGCTTCTTGGTACAATCTGGTCTGATTTTCCAAAGCTTCAGTCAATTCAGCTATTTGGGTTTTGAGCTGAGATACCATCTAGGGAGCAAGCAAACCAACAAAACATATGTGGTTAGGTAGGTGTGGAAACGTTAGAAAGGTATGAAAGATGCATCCCCACATTCTTAAAAAGAGGATAAAATATCCATTGTTAAAATACATAAATTAAAAAAGACAAAAAGAGAAAAATCTGCTGTAACCACCAGGAGAAAATGGCAGAAATGGTGAATGAGATGTGAGACACCCAAAAGTGGGCAGCAGAAACCATACTAGTGGAGTCCTTCAGGGATCTATCCTGGGGCCAGTGCTCTTTAATGTCTTCATCAATGATTTGGATAAAGGGTTTGAAAGACTGCTAACTAAGTTTGCCAATGACACCAAACTGGGAGGTCCTGCCTGTGGACCCTCTCAAGGGCAGAGAGGCCCTGCAGAGAGATCTGGATAAATTAGAGAGCTGGGCAATTACCAACTATATGAATTTTAACAAGGGCAAGTGATGGATTTTGCACCTGGGACATGGCAACCCTGGACACACTTACAGACTGGGGAATGGGAGGCTGGAGAGCAGCCCTGGGAGTTCTGGTTGATGGCAAGTTGAACATGAGCCAACAGTGTGTCCTGGCTGCCAAGAGGGCCAACCGTGTCCTGGGGTGCATCAAGCACAGCATTGCAAGCTGCTCAAGG